ATAAGATGTGTCGCTACAGCTGTGAGAGTACACCTCCATGTTACAAAGGGTACAGCAGCAAATAATCATCATAATCATTGCCTTCTTGAGAGCTTTTACTATCTTTCACTGTGGGAGCATTTTTACGCTAGTTTGTCGAAGCACAAGCGCCACACGCTTGTGCTTTAACAAATCAGTACACTTATGAATAACTGACAAGATATGGCAAGGACGAAGGAGGCCACATACGATTGGAATTCAAGTTAAGTATTATTGGCTAATTACACAATGCTACATACATGAACCTGCCTTGCTAACACAAGAAATCGGCAACATTGGCATCAATAAGCACGTCTGGGATAAGAGTCACTTCGTATCATGAACTTCAAGTGCATAAAAAACAGCTAGTCGTGTCTTGCAGTCTACGGAGTCACGCAGCTGGAAACAGGAGCCGTGGGCGTGAGAGCATAGCTACATAGTTAAAATGTTTCCCAAGACCCGCGTATTAAATACGCTACTCTAGGCAATGTATCGTTGCTGTTGCAGCAATACCACTTGGTAAACCTTTCCTTACGCGATATTCAAGGGAGTCTTTCGCTCAGTGGTGTAAAGTGAAATTAACGGTTTCTTAAAATTACGTGTAGCATTCTGATGGAGCAAAGTGCTAGACATCTTGTACTGTGCAATTACCGTGCAGGCTAATGGACTCAAAGTGTTCTCATTTGCAGCGTTTGACATAGTATGTGTCTCATTGCTACCTTAAACCTCACAATACAAAGTAAAACAGCATGCCATTATACCAATACGAATGAGACCCAAGCCTAATTTGGGCCTGACTTAGGCCCGAGCCTAACCCGGGCCTGACTTAGGCCCGGGCCTGGCCTAGGCTTTTGGGCCAACCTGGTCCTGTGTAGTGCTCTACCGTTACCCCTGCTCCGGCTCGCACTGCTGCAAGTGACACGACCCCCACTCAATGCTAACATGGTTCAAGCTATCATCCGCCAAGAACTCGCCAGTATAGGTATTCCCTCGGTATGTGCTGTGCCCAGCTCGCAGAGAGCTCCATGGCATCCACCCTCGTCCCATCACGAGCAGCAGTTTACGGCCTGATACACCCCGTCACAAACACCCTGTCACAACATTAACTTAATATTTGAACCGTGAAGGTACTAAAAAGTAAGCTGTAAGCTGTTTGACCTGTTACTTCAACTACTTGACCGACACCATTGTATAATATCTTCGTTCAGCTTAACATATAGCTCCCTTCTCAACTATATATTTACAATATGCGTGTTTTACTTTTTGAAGCTTTTCATCTCATATTACACATTTGTCCTGCTTCACTATTTATCTAATCCCAACATAACTAACCGATAATAACCTATTGAGTATGAAAACACGAGTTGTTTTCTAGACCTTTTCATTATAGATTTCTCTCACATTCGTATAAAAAAAAACAATACATATATATTATTTATTAAAAAAAAAAGCCAGCAATGCTTTTATTCCATGTATAACTGTTGTGCACCACTAACTTCATAAACTCTGTGCTTCACAAGTTAATTATTAGTGACTGAAACGTGCGATGTCTTAGTTCCATGTGTTATGTTGAAAATGTTTTACACTAGCATCCATTCTGTCTATTCAGCTTATGCCAGCGGTCTTCTCTTTTCACTGCTAAGGATGTACGGCACAACGATGCGTCAGTAAAGGCTTGAAGAGGACAAGTCCAGTCTGCAGTCGCAACAAAATGGACGGCGCGTGCGAAATAATTTGTCGCAGAATTTCGTTGTAGCAAAACTTCATCTATAGACCACGAAATTCGGTAAGATCTAATTACTCATCTTTTGTTCCCCGCAGGTGCATCAATTTAAAGAAAGATGCTACTCGAAGACACTTTTTTTTAATATTCACCCTAGAGCACTGAAACTTGAGCTGTTTATGAAGCTTAGTATGCTGTTTTCAAATATATAATCAGTTTTCTTGCAAGTTGCATAACTTTCAGCTCTGTGACATGACAAAGTGAAAACACCTTAACCCTTTAGCCCCCCCCTCCCTCTTTTCATCCCTAAACTTCTGTAATTTTTTAGCATTCATAGTTTCATAATGTTTAAAATAAAGTGTGGAATGCGAATAACTAATTAGGAAGCACATACAAAATGTGTAATAGGCATAAAAAATAATAGACCTAAAAAAGTCTATATTTGACCTATCCTAGTAAAGGTTTACATACAATTTTTCATTATATAATAAACTATTAAAATTTAAACAAGATAATTGTATGTCATACTTTGGAAAAAATTTGGCCGAAATTTCATGCAAATGTGAGCACTAGAAGTACCTGAAAAAGGAGGGGCACATTGAAAAAAAAAAGGCAAAATTTGTGTTTTAAGAAAAATAAGTTTTAAAGTTTAAATTGAATTTTTATTTATGAAAGATATCATTAAATGCAATGAAGTTAGCACACCAAAAAGAACAATCCTTCTTGTAGTGGCCACTGTTGCTAAAATATACCAGCACCATGAGTTCGTCCTTCTCTGCTTTTTCGAGCCGACTCCTCACAGACATTTCACTCACAGACAGGGCCATGAAATGCTTGCCAAACTTCTTCCCCTCTATCTAGCAGAGCCTTATGCCGCCTGCAAGCAAGGAAGAAGTTCGACAGGACTGCGAAATCTAAACAAAGTCCAGTGTCGAGGAACACAACAGTGCCGATGCCATTTTGCGACTACATTTGTGCCAAATACTGTTGTACATAATGGCAATGCCATCCCCTCTAAGTTCCTTCGACCTCGCGAGATTGGCGCTGACGTCATCCATTGCCGCATCTCGAACTTTCCAGCTGATGGCTTTCAATGACTTTTGATGTGTTGGCTTTTCCCATTCATAATGCACATAAATACACGGGAAAAGCAATGTTCAGCTGCACTGCTCGTCAAGATGTGGACCCCACAAGTAGGCTTCACAGCACATACAGGCTCGCAGCGGCCAATGATGGTCTACGATCAATACCAGTGATAAGCCAGTAGCGGTGCTCTAAAAACGCACAAAAGCGTGCTTCTTTTTATTATTTCTTGCGCCGCATCAGTGAGGGAACTGTTGTTAGTTGAACAGTGAGGCTCGGCTCTTCGCCTCATTCGATCGACAATGGCAAGCGGCAGCGCATTATCGGCGGCAACGTGCTTGAAGACTGCACACTTTCGGCCTTTTAGCAGGCACCTTGTGCTCTTTAGATGCAATATTAAAGCGTTTCCAGTTAAGCTTCGACGTGAAATTTTTTTCCAGAAAAGTAGAGGTACTAATCTTATTAAAACAGGCGAAAATAAAAGATCAGTAATTTTAAAGAAACTCGCGTTCTTCAACCCGCATCTCCCTTTAACTCTCACCAACTCTGACGTACTTGGTCACCCACTGAGTGAACATATATTCTCGTGAATAACATGCAAAAAGTATACAGATAATTTACAGAAAATTTACTAATATAAAAAAATATACAAAGCAGTGTGCGCAATTGTGCCGCATGTATGCCATCCCATGGGGTGTATCTCTTTCCTGTCTTTCTTGTAATAAATTTCGGTTTCAAGTTGGGCTCGTCCTGTCCACCCTTTTTTTTTTTCCAGTTCTTATTTTTTGGTGCTTCAAAGTTGTCGTACAAACTCGCCCAACCTTCTGTCCTTATGAAATAATTTGTAGCTGAACTCAGGATGCAGATTGTAAAAATAATTTTGGTGCGCAAGTTAGCTTCACGGCATGCCTTAACTGCCCAGCGATAATATTAAGCAGGTACTTTTTCTTCATTCTACCACAGTTTGAAGTCAGAAGTGCCAGTTAAATGCATGGGTGTGTTATGCACAAGAAGATGAGATCATCAGATCAGTTCGAGCGTGCCTAGCGCACCCCGCTGACGAGCGCACAAAAGCTTCGCCAAAGGTCAACTAAAAACAAAGTGCTGCAGCTTTGCACTACCATAGCCATAAAGGAACGACCGGAAAGCAGAAACCCTTTGTACAGTTTTAAGACTTTATTGCCTATAATCTTCGGCTCTGCTCGCTGCCTACCTTCGGAGCACATTCGCTATCAACGAACGCGACAATAGGAACCACGGTTCCTGTGCAGCTGTTGCGGCAAATTGTAGTTCCATTTATTGTCTGTGCGCCCTGGCCGTGCACATGCCTTAAAAACTGCATCACAGCTATCTGCAATCGCATTAACGGGGTTTTATCCACAGCATGTGGCAAGCAGCATTGGTATGAGTCTGCACGCGTTAGATACGAGCACACTTTTATCGCTGCCCATGGTCACATTGACACTACCACACTTGTGTTCGTAGCGGTTGCGGCAGAATCCAGTCACACTTTGAATAGGCGCACGCTGGCCACATGTGTACCTTCACAATGCCACTGAATGCAACCATGCCGTGGTTGTCAATCACAACCATAGGGCTAGTGACGATGAGTGGTAGTTTAGTTTTAAGTGCGAAGCCAAAAACAAGGCGAGATTCTAACAGCGCCCGCACATTCATTAAACCCACTGGCAGCATCATGGTTGATGAGCAAGTTGTCACTGAGCACCTACTTCACGGATGCAAACTTTACTGGAATGTGTGTGTGGTGGCAGAAAGTGTCTCCAATGAAGGCACGGGTGTGGCGATGTGGTTGCACTGTGCAGGAAGCCACCAACCAACAAGAAATGACCGAGTTGGGAGCAGAATTTTGCGGCAATTCTAGGCAAGTTTCTTTCCTATATGTGGTAGTACTCGTAAAAACTTTTTTAAAGCGAAAGTATCCCGGAAATGTACCCATTGTTATGAGACACTTTTCACATTCTTTTTCACGGGAAGCCGACGGGGAATTGAAAAATAATTGTTGTGGCAGAAATTTCGTTGTAGCTAACTTGTTTATAGCCGAATTCGACTGCATTGCCAAATATGTGGCTTTGTTCACAAGGTGAGCATCCACAGATGCAGAGAAGTTTTTTAAGCCAGTTTGACCAATACATTGCTGTCAAGAATAGCAACGCACTTGTTAAATCCCGTGGTTACCAGGTGGCTCCCTCCTAGCACCCAGGTGACTCGGGCTCCACGAGTGCCCGTGGGTCCCAGGCCCTCCTGCACGGGTAGCTCACTCCTCAGAGGGTCGTACACACGCAGCTTCTGGTCTTTGCACACGGTGGCCAGAAAGACACCGTTCGGATCCCATGCCAAACTGAAAATCTGCAAAGTTTGGTTGTGGCAGCTCTGTTTTAGAAGACATGAAAGAGTTGCACTAGCAACTACACTTTATTTCACGCTGAAGCCAAATGTTTAAGATATGAAAAGCACCATGTAGTAGCAACACAGCCATTACACAGGAAAGAAAAAATATGATACACAACCAGGCACCACATTACTTAAGCAGATAATATAGTTAAACCGGCCCATAATGAACCTCCATATAAATATTTCTGCAATATAACCAAGTTTTGCTACTCCCTGCTGTTACACTGTAGAATCACATGTATTTGCGACCCCTACGTAACAAAGTAACAGAAATGACAACATTTATGCAACGAATTTTTCTCACGAACATCTAGAAATTTCACTCCATATTTTTGCATTTCAGCACGAGCGTGCATCTTCCGTGAGTGTACTACTACTACCGCCAAAACGCGAAGCGGCGGAATGCGCGCATGGTGCACTAGGCGCAAGTGAGGGCTTCTTATTGCGCCCGGGTGAGCGTGAAGCAGGCAGGCCTGCGCCTTACAAGCTGCTTTTCTTGCCACCACAGGCACATGTGCGGATGTGCCCTCCCTCTCCAAACCGAAAACAAACAAAAAACTACTTTTTGCATTGACAGTGCTGCCCTTTTAGCTACCGTCGAATATGTGGGCCTGCACTAGATATGGAAGGCACTTTACTGAGTTGTTTTCCTCAGTATCTATGTTGTTCCCTCTTCGCTTTCAATGCAGTGCGCGCGTGCATGGTTTTACTGCACACCCATGATTTGGCCCCCGACGATGTTCAGGTTTGCTTTTTCTTTCTTTTTCAAAATGCGGACAGCCGTGTCGTCACCACCGAGGTGATGTCAGATTAGGTCCCGATGAAAACTCTGCGAGACCACAGTGATGACGGATTTTCGGAGGTCGACTCATCACGCGCTTCCGTCTTGTGCCGGGCCAAGAGTTCATAGGCTCGAAGCTTTGGCGATTAGCCAATTAGTTCTGGCAACAACAGGACAGCGCGTGGAATGCAATGCAATGAACACGATAGCGAAAAATTATAATGTTATACAAAGTAAGGCTGGGAGCCAACTTTTTTAGATCCGATATCGCAGAACTCCTACAAAATGCTAATGTAAGTAAATACGGCCACTCCAGGAAGAAGTGCTCTTTTCACACAGACCCTTCGCGTTGAAAGTGCACAGCTGATACTTGTCGAGATAGCTGGCGCGCCAGCGATCGTGAGCGCCCTTAAAATCAAAGTTCATTGTTGCTACTCGAGGGCCCCGCCCCCCTTCCTGCATTTTTTTCATGCTCATTCAAAATGGGTGTTTTTTTTTTCTGTTTGAGCATTCGATGGCAGTTCTAACATGCTGGAGATGTCATGTTATGCACCTTCCAGGCGATAGAGATGGGCCGGCCCATTTGATACGAGCTACAGCAGCGCCCGCACGCTCTTACCTGCTCGAAAAAGTAGCGATGCGCGGGGGCTTGTTATCAATTTACACTTGTTACGCAATATGGGGGCGACAGCAAAAACTTGCCGAGAGTGTTCATGCAATCGCTATTGCAATAATAACACAGTTTTTCACTGCTAAATTAGTGTTTTGGGTTAGCTCTGCCTTCAGTCCCCCTTTTATTTGATTTGTGCGTTTATTTTCAGAATTTTTGTACCAAACCTCCATGTAACAAAATCCTCTTTTAGCAAATTTTTCTGAGAATTTATTCATTTCGTTATATCCAGTTTTTCACTGCTGAATAAGTGTTTTGGGTTAGCTCTGCCTTCAGTCCTCCTTTTATTTGATTTGTGCGTTTATTTTCTGAATTTTCGTACCAAACCTCCATGTAACAAAATCCTCTTTATAGCAAATTTTTCTGAGAATTTATTCATTTCGTTATATCCAGGTTTAACTGTATAGGTTTAACCTCCAAGTGGTAGGTGGTGCAGGGCTCGTGCACCATCATCATCATGGTTGCCACGGCATTGCCAGCATTGATGCCTGGCAGCGAGGCTAAGTGGCCCCACAGAAAAGATTGGGGGCCCCCTTTGGTGCGTGATGGCTGGCATGGATGGTCTTCTGCTGACAGGGTCCTGCGGGATACTGCAGCTGCGGGTCGTGTCCCGTGGGTCCCCTTGTGGAGAGTCGAACGTCGCTGCCGCCTCTTTCTAGGCTTGTGTGAATATTCGAATGCTTCGAATATTCGACATTAAATTATTGAAAATTCTGGTCTTTGAAATAAATGAATGAGTATATATTAGTCCGCATCTATTACTCTGTAAAGATAGTTTCACAGCAATGAAAGGGTGCTAAGCCATGAAAACATTTATCTAGATGTAGATTAGTGCACATGTAGCCCCTGTAGAGGTATTTTCACTGCACTAAAAAAGTGCTAGGCCATGACACCTATTGATGGGAAATCTGCACTGCCACAAAGCCCCACATCAAGGTTAAATCAACATATTACCCTCGCATCAATTTATCATTTTTTGAGTTTAAAAGCTTGTTAACTGGCTTATATGCTCCAAGAATTGTAAACTTTAAAACATAACATATTTTACAGGTTATCACTAGCATTCTAATGAAAGTCAGATCCTCCCACTATAGAAAGTTTTTTTTTTTACTTACTTTCAACCAAAAAAATGGCATTTGTACAAGTTTCAACAGTTAAAGATATTGTGCAGATTAGTCATGTCATGACAATGATGCTCACATTTGTTTATGTAATATATATTATCCAAAATCAACTTGAGACCAAAATCACTATTCACTTCAAACCTAAAATTCACTATTCGTACAAGCGTGCCGGTTTCACATCACCTTGTGTTTGTTGTTATATTAATTGAGTGTATTGGAATACAGTCGACGTCCGATTTTCTGGACCCTCAAGGGACCACGAAAACGTCTGGAAGAATGAATGCATGTGAAAACCCGCCCTTTCTTGTAGACATTTTTTGCTGACGAAGAGGGTAACGGCCGGAGTACAAGATTCTCATTGCAATTCAGCCAATGCACCATTTAAGTGGCTCTGAAAGGAGCAGTTTATAACAATTTTTTAAAAATCTGACGTGGTCCGCACTACCTCATAGGTCAGCACTTGGGCACAAAGAAGTCGCCTATTTTCTTTTGCACAACGCTCCGCTTGCCCGTGATCATGTCTGCGTCAATTTCAGTCAACGTCTTACCGCTGTACACTGATGACATCATCATCAGTGCTCGCGTCAACTCCAAGGTCGTTGACTGTGTAGGAAATGGCTCTTCTCTGTGTCGGAGTCGTCAGAATTATCCGTAATTTGACGTATCGTTTCCTCATTGGTCAAGTCCAAACGTAGCTTGAGGTCCTTGTCAGCATCAACGAAGCCCTTAAAAGTTACCCCGGCTAGAATCGACATGCCGGCAGTGCGCAGATCGTTGAAGGCAACATCCGTAGATGGCATACACTGTCCACTTGGGGCGAGACGGCCGCCTCGGCGTAGAGTGTGAAGCCCACGTCACGAAAACAGTTCCGCAGAGTCTCTTGCGTAACTGTTTTCCAGGATTTCGCTAGCATGCCGACAGCAGACATGAGGTCAACAGCGTAGCTTTTCCCATTGTCGAAGCAGAGCACCATGCGGCTGAGCACGCATAATTTGTAATAATGCTTCAAGTTCCGAATCATGCCTTGCTCAATCGACTGCAGGATTGCTGTAATGTTCGACAGCAGAAATTCAATCTGTACAGCTTTTAGGTCTTTGATGTGGCCATGCGTAGCACCGTTATCCCCAAACAGAAGAACTCTTCGATTTTGCTGCTCGAACCTTCCGTCCAGCTTGCGCACGTACGCTTCGAATAACTGCTGCGTTACCCATGCTTTTTTGTTAGCTTTATAGAGAACAGGCAGAGTCACTGCCCCTTGAAACATCTTGGATGCTTCAACTTGCCTATTACTAGCAACGAAAGCTTCTTCCTGCCTGAGATGTTGTTGCCAACGAGGACAGTGAGCCGCTTCTTGCTGTGCTTGCCGCTGTGGCAGGGGTAACCAGCAAATGCAACCGTTTCCTCTCGCAGCAGCTTGTAGGAATCGTCGCCGGCGCTGCTTTCCCCGCACATCTTCTTGAACTTCAAGTCATTGCAGCTCTTGAAATTGTGAAGCCATCCATCGTTGAGTTTGAAGAAGGCGAAAACCTCTGCCTTCTGCTTCAAAATATTGCCTGACACTGGGACTTTCTTAGCGATCATGGCACTGAGCCACACGACGAGCGCTTCCTCGAGCTTCGGGTAAACACCCTAGCTCGCATTCTTCTTTTCAGCCCCGGTTGATTTGACAGCCACTGCCAAGATCTTCATCTTGTTTTTGAAATCCGAAACAGTTTGCTTCAAAATTCCGAACTCCCTCCCTACTGCTACCCCATGCAAGCAAGTCGCCAATCATGCCATGAAGTCATCGCCTAGCACATAAAAAGAGACGCACGCAAAATAAAACGTATTGTTTTTGCTTGGTTACTGAGTCGTTCACTCACGACATAACAGCGGCAACGAGGCACGAATCGACGCGGTGAGAGGAGGCTTCGAAGTGCGGGTGCTTAAACAGGCAGTGATGGCGCCGGGACAAGCACCTGCATTCACGGAAGAAGGAGGCTAGTCCGCCTACAAAGTACACTTGGAAGCATACTTTCAAGCACAAGAAATCACAGATGAGGCAAATCAAAGAGCGCTGCTGGTGGTGGTTTTGTCCAATGGCATTGTCAAAGTACTTCAGTGCCGATGCCACCCCAAAAGCGTGAACGACCTCCCCTACAGCAAGGTCATCAAGCATATGCAAAGCCACTACGAGCCGCAGGTCAACGAAACAGCAGCCAGCTATCAATTCTTGGTAGCTGGCTGCTGTTCCATGCTGAAGGAAAAAACCTTAAGCCAACCATTTTTTGGTATTCAGGGCTAGACGCAGACATTGAAAGGATGGTACGCGAATGTGAAAGGTATGTTCAAACCAGTGCGATGCCTCTTGCACAGGTTCCTGCGCAGGCGCTATGGCCAGAAACGGGCTGGAAATGGTCTCGAGTGCACATCAACTACGCAAGCCCCGTCGAAGAACACATGCTACTGGTGGTCGTGGATGCTGAAACCAAGTGCCTGGAGGCCATATCGAGACAAAGTACACGTGGGAAGTCACCGTGGAAGCGTTAAGGTCCATATTTGCTAGGTTCAGACTGCCACATACACTGGTTTCAGATGAAGGGCCACAGTTTGTCTCAGCAGAGTTTCAGAAGTTCGTAAAAATGAATGGGATCAACCACATGACGACCCCTTACCCCACGCAGTCAAGTGGCTTCGTGGAACGATCAAGGAAGGCCTTTGAAAAGCTCAGGGTGGTGGCACCTTCAGTACACGTCTCAGTCGGTTCCTAATGCCGCTACGGATGAACAGCGACTAAGGCTGAAAAGTCTCCGTCCAAACTACTGCTAGATTATCAGATACAGACCAGGCTAGACCAACGTCTCCTAGAAAAACAATGTCTGGAACATCGCTCTCTTTTCAATTGGGAGCCTCTTGACAGCACGCAATCTCAGAGGCCATGCCTCCTGCCTTGTGTTGCGACCACCGCCGCGCGAGACCACTCGCCTCCGTATCGCTCAGTCACGTGACCCTACCGTACTGCTCTGTCATGTGATATCACGGCAACTCGGAGGTAACTGTGAGAGCATTTTTGTGTTCGCAGGGGCAGCTGTCGGAGACACTAGCCTTTGTAACGAAGGAGGAAAGTAAAATAGGAGGGTAGAGCACCGTGTTCACAGCTCGCGTTCCAGGCATAATTTTTTTAGGAGGCGTTGGCTAGACTGTTGCCTCCCAAGTGCAGTCGGTGGACCGACTTTTGAAGAGCGCCCATCTACAATGCCGTTCTGTGCAGAACAACCGGTGTGGCTGAGAAGTTTCCACCGCCGGCCTCACGCGACCGCTGCTCGGAGGCTCCGTGGCTGACGGACTTTGCACAGGCTCCGTGATAACTGATGCGGTGGCTAGGCCTTCCATGGTAGCGTCGACGACTTCGCCATGAGCCACGGAGAGTGTAGCGCCTCGGTGATTTTGCTGTATCACGGAGCGCTTCCTGAAATCGGGGACTAGCGTCCTTCGCGCCGTTTTCGCACCAACTTGTGCCATGTGCGAAATTTGCGCTCATGAAACTCATTTGCGCTCAAAAAATTTGACATCATGAAACTTCTCAGCTGACACTGAGGCAAAATGGCGCGCATGGACGTGCACCTCAATACCCGGAGCAGACGAAGCCAGGAGCCTCCACCAATAGAGAGGCAAGCTCAAGTCACGTGCATGAAGTCGCGAATAGGAAGGCGCTCTGATACTTCTTTTTGCCGCTCATCTTACAGGCTGCCAATGGTTGAATTGTACCCATTCTGGCGGGAATTTGAAGGCGAAAGACTGTTCTCTCAAATGAGACCAAGCGGGCCGCACTGGAACACATGATAGGGCAGGGGCCCGTCATGGAAAGTATGCGATTTGAATGTCGATTTCGGCTCAGATTTAGCTAGAAAGTGCCGTATGAAGGGTCTTAGCAGCTAAAATAATGATATTATAGGCATGAAATTCACGGTATAAGTGCACTAGTAGCTGTAGATTTCAGAACGCAAAAAAAAAAAAACTAGTTTTTTCTTGATTTTTCGGTCTCCACAACCCGTGTGCCCCCTTAAAGTGACATATCAACATTTCACATTAATGCTTCGCATATCATCGATTCCCACTGTACGTGGGTTCTGCCAATTTTTTCCTGCACGTTTCGCAACACGGGTCTTTTCTTTTATTCTGTGACATAGGGAGTCAAGCATCTGCTGTCGAATCAACACACTCTTAAGCCTTTCTTTTCGATATGGCAAGTCCAATGGGCCCACGGTGAGGCCAAAAGAATAGGTCTTCAGTCCCAACGTCAGAGAAGTCCACTTCGGGCTAGTACACTAATGCGACCCACTGGAGCCTAACAGTTTTTTCGTTCATCCATCTATCCATGGATGAGAAGGGCCGGCAGAGGAGCAGACAACCAAACGGTTAAAAAACCAGCGATTCGGGTCAGCAGGGTCTAATCGCATAGGGTCAATTTCTCCCCCTAATGGTGAACATTTTAAAAAGTATAGATCACAAACAAAACGAAAGCCGTGTGAAGATTGCAATTTCCTTTTTTTTCATCCCGTTTTTTTTTCTTCATGGTTTTGCATTCGCCAATCACTTACGCCATGTCAGCACAGTGACATATGGTGGCAGGCGCATCAAACTTCACTGCTGCTAGCGGTTGTTTTGAGTAATTAGGTTAGACAAGAAAGGCTAGGTTGAACTCAATAACATGAAAATTTTGGAGTACACTTGAGCTTCACCTTCAGAAGCATAACGCGGAAGCGTAATCAAGCTTTGTTCACATCGCCTTCTCAATCGCTAGATTATAGCACGCTACTCGGTCGACATCTAAACAATGCCGCAAGGAAAGGAGCATCTGTGTGCCTCTATATTGAAATTAGAACTGCAAATACAACTGCAAAGTGCCCACTACGACATAATCCTTCCTTATGTTAGGTAGTGAGGTACCTACAATGCGTCTGTTAGGCCACACATGCACTTTCACAGCTGCACACATTATGGATACTAATAATTCCTGTTTCCTTTGTACCTTGTGGGCTGAACGTTCATTGCACAATTCTCATGTATTAACGCTTGGAGTAATTCTACACTTCTGCAACGAGATATTACAATGCATACATGTCAATGGTGCTCCTCACACTATATAACATTCAAGTAGCTCCCCCCTCCAAAAGCGATTTCGTGTACAGGGCGCTTTGGTGTAAAACCTGCTTGCCATGAAGATGTCGATGGTTTGGTTCGCACACAATTTTTAAAATTAGTTCTTTATTTGCATCTATCTTAAATTTTTTCTCACGGCAGTGCTCATTCTTCGCTCACAATCGGCGACATTGACGACACCCAAATTTCAGTGAAACGATACTTTTAACACTATTTCGATAATGACAATCTTAAACTGGCCTTTAAAACAAAATTTGAGGTTATATAGTGTTTGTATATATGCCAATTCTTAAATTACGCATTTATAGGCAGTTATAGTCATTTAGGCACAAATGCCAGAAATAGGCCTTAATACGTACTATGAGAACACTATAAAGCACTTCTTGATATACAATTAATGCTCATATATGAAAGTGGAGCGCCAGGAACGCAAGGAGAAAATAGGCATTTGCCTAAAAGCTGGTCTCTAGAGATGTAACCTATGGTTGACTGTCGTTTGCACATTATCTGTGCCGATGACCTAGAATGCGGTCAAGACATCGGGCCATGTACGCCATCATCCTTATGATTGGGGCGGAAACGCCAGCATCGATGCCTAGTTGTGAGGTTATGTGGCCACAAATAAAAGATTGGGGGCTCTTTTTGGCACATCACGGCTGGTGTGGATGGTGACCTCCTAACGGGGTTCGACGAAAAGCAGCAACCGCAGGTCGTGTGCTGTGCATTCCTCATGGCGAGTCTAAGATTGACGACAACATCTTTGCGTTATCTTCTATTTGTTACGTTAATCCAGTGTATTGAAATATTGTATAGAGTTGTTTAGTATGTCAATAGAGAAATTTTTTCCCCGGCTGGCGATATCGCCGTTTGCAGAAGTAGTACACAATGTTTTGGATTGCCCGATCGTGTGAGTCTCCATTTGTTCCGGGAGCGGCGTTCTCATTTCGAGATTCGCACAACATTCTGATACCTGTAATTCAAGAATAAAATGTTTCCCATTACATGTCTCTTCAAATGAGATGCAAAGCACCTGGTCAGTATGTCCTTGAAGGCGAATCTTGCACTGGTGAGTCTCCATGTCCCAGATGATCACAGTCAGGTCATGGGATCCAGAGGCCAGAACACCGGCAGCCTTCGGATGGAATTTCACAAAGTGGACTTTTTCAGTGTGGCCCTTCAGCTCAAAGTCTGGGTCTGTCAGGCTTTCATGCAAGCCACCCTCGGGAACAGTCCACACGCGAATGCGGCCATCATCGCATGCTGCACAGAATTGAAGCACGCCATCAGCTGTGTGTCTGGTTAGCACTTATGCTTCCTATTATCAAATGTGGTATAAGTTTAGCATATCTACATTTATCTCGAAATAATTATGCACGATATGAAACGCAGATGTGCGTAGGGCAAAAGCCTCATGAAATGAAAAAATTAACAGCCGGCGTAGTCAACATCAAAATGCATGGCACATAAATTATCGAAAAAAGACAATAATTTGATAATAATGACTACAAAACGACTATAGACATCAACCACGGCATTAACAAAGTTGAAAATAAAATCAGCCCACGATCATGATGCAGACAAAAAAGGACACCACTACAATCCTGAGTGAATAACTTCTATTGGACAGCAATCACATATTCATATGGTCATGCCACATGACTTCACATGGCACTGCCGGGGTTCGTACATGTTTCCAAATTCAAAGATATTCAAAAACTTTCCAGGACAGGTTAGCACGAAATGTTCTTTCCTTAACATTTTTTAAATTGACTCACTTTTATTGCACTTATATAGTACATGCGTACTGATATTATAACAAACATGTCTAGTCTGCACTTTAGCTCACGTTAGCTTCACTAGCTTCACCGTTTGCACAATAGGAAAGGAGCCAGCACCGAAGAGCATTACCACTCACTCACTTCGTTCACACGTTGTTTAACGCAGTAAAGCTACTCCCCATGCAGTTTTGGAAAACGAAACGATATTTATTCACGCCAAATTACTGTTTCGAAAAGGGGGAGTTCGTCAGGTCAACGCCAATCTATACCTGCAAAGTGCAAGAATTCTGAATCTTGGCGATTCCCGCAACGGGAAGGGAGGTGTCATGCCAATTCGCTCTCCCCCCTTTCTTTTTAGACAAAAGGAAAACCATAGGGGGAAAAAAAAAAAACATGAAGTGGAGGGCTCAGTAAATATTGGGGTTGGGCAGTCCCATACCAACTAGGAGGAGCTGAACACCCAAGGGTAGGGTTTCCCCAACGACAGTAACAGGTCTCAAATGGGGGCGAACATACTTGTGTCTCTCAAAATTTCGCGTCATAAAAAGAACTAGCGAAATCTATTTCTGTCGAAAGAACTCGCGTATGTCTTACCGGGACACACGTGAACGGACGGGACGAAGCTACGCTGAAAGGCAAACTCCGGCGACTTTTCGAGGTCAATGGATCTCAACGAAATTTACTGGGTACACTCATTCGCAAGAGAGCCTACAGAGCAACTACACACACACGAGCTAAGGAAAGCAGTGGCAGCTTTGAAGAAGACAAGTTCACCTGTAGAAATGTCAGTTTCAGCAACACCCCCGTGCTACTATTTTTCATGCAGAGTAAAGAACAGCACTAAAAACGAGAGACAGGAGGGAGGAGCAACATGGTACTTCTCCCTTTTGTCTCTCTTTTTTGTGCTTTTATTATTTTTGATTTCTTCGAGCTTCCAGTTCCCCCTTATGCGTCAGTTCCTCTCCTCTTGTGTTGAATAAACAAATCTGAGGAGCTCACCTATGACAATGCGCCTGTTGTCAAAGGGGTCCCAGGCAAAGTCCATGATGCTGGTCCCACAGATGAGGCTGGGAACAACTCCAGATTGTAGACGGCCTCTCTTGGACAGCTGGATTCACCACAAAACAAGGTTACTACAGCACTACCACTGTGAGCAAGATACAAATTAAGGTAATCGGCTGCTTACTCTAGTGACTGGCACAGCAAATGCACATGTGTGAGGTGGCATTTGTAAGAGCAAAAGCACAACTTTTTCGAATCAAGTACAGTTGCATACAACAAAAATACCTGGTTGATATCAGCACAATTGACATCACATCTACACAACTGTGTGCAGCGACAATGGGGCAGCAAAGGGTTTCCTACAGATTTAAATGATCGGTTAGCAACTATAAAACAAACTACTTTTTTTTTTGCATACTTGCCGACACCAAATGAGTTAATAGCACCATCACATAAAGTCGGCCCAATTGCCACAATATGCATGCACCAACCAATTTTTCAAATCAAATTTTAAAATCCGCAACTAATTGTTTAAACAACATGAAAGGAGCTGCATGAGGCTCCAATGCAATGTTTACATGTCAATATGTAACTTGTGCATATGATCATAAGTCAGGAAACTCTCAAGTGGACTGATTCTGATTGAGCCCTCAAATATAAGTGTGAGTGAGTTAGTGTGAGTACTAATATAATAGTTTCAATTCGAGTGTGTCTAGTTGAGAAACATTTCAGCGAGTCTGAGTTTGATTACGTCGTGTAAGGAAAATTTTAGTGAATGAGTTAAAGTGAGCCCTAGGTGCAACATGCATTCTCTGAGTGAGTCTAAGCGAGCTTTACTTTTTTTTGCCGACCTGTGCTCATGTCTACTAAAATTCAGCATTATTTTCAGCCTTATGTTGGCTCGCACTTACACCACGTGCTATGGTGCACAACTGTTCGCACACAAGCTCAACATTAATTGATCAAAGATGCAAGTTATAATATAGGGGCACCTGGACTTCATCCCTCCCTCCTTTAACTCAGCAAGCTCTTTCATGGTCATGTACTCCTGTTGGTGTTCTTTAAAACCAAAGGAAAATTTTTCCTTTGGTTTCTTCAACAGAAACTTTCAACAGAAAATATACAAAAGTGGATTGCACCATTGTTCATCATTATATCCATTAGAATGCAATAAAAAGCATCATAATAAGTGGACTCTACTGTACTTATTTCCTTTAACATGTACAAGTCTGGTATGGCAGCCTCTTTATGGTCCAAGTTTTCTGTAAGCAGATTCTTCTATCACAGGCTCTGGGAGTGGCAGCTCAAGCAGTCGTGTGGCCAGGGTACGTGCATCTTCGTATGCCTGGTATTGCGACGCAACATGGGTGTTCTTCACCATTAGGGACAGTGAGCAGAGTCAGCCACCTCGCAGAGCTGATATCTTTGATGCCAATTCTGGGTGCTGGTTGGTTCCCAGCTCTTGTCAAGCGACTAGTTAAGCCTAAGGCGTTAGTGAGTTGCAGGTGGGACACAACCAGATGTCACACTTTGCTTCCCTCATTCCATCTTGCCTTACACAAATTAAAAAAAAGCAACTTTTGTTCCCTTGAACTTGGCGTCTTAGTTGCCAGTGATATACTTGATAGAGCCATACTGGCCATCATACTATGCGGGAGATGCACCCGTGGCTCCCTTCCCTTAGTACTACTACGCGATTCTGTTGAGAGTGTTGTGACAGTAAGCAGCTGCCCTAAAACCGAGGCCCCCGTGGATTCTGCTGGCAACCCTCGACCAGAAGATGCATCGACATAAGTGACACTCTTGCACCGATTCCCACGTTGCCTTAGCTCGTCCATGCCTGGGTCATATTGTCGAGCTCCCAGACAAGTCGCCCGTGCAGCAGTGTCGACTAAAAGTGGGATCAGGATGCATAAACAATGTGTAGAAATTTATGTCGCAGATTGCTTTCTTTTCATAGAGACCTCCTCCCCCATCACCATTAATGTTTTTTTATTATTTTCGCTAGAATGTTGATTTAAGAAGGGCAGTACGTGGAGGTGCTGTACCTCCTGCAAAGTAACTTTGACTTCGTAGCACCTGTGCGCCTTAGTTTTGCCACTGAGAGAAAGATGGCGCTTTGCTTGCACAGTGGCACGAGTGCAGCATAAGAAATGGGGGTTGACAAGAGTTGCAATGTGAGCTTGTTCACAATTCACCTCAAAAGCTTTGATGTAATGCAAAACGACACCCAAACACAAGAAGGCACATACGGACACCACGCAGGCACCGCAGTGAACGGATGCGTCTCTTGTGGGAGGCTCATAGGAACAATATCATGGCTTGCTCTGGCGGGCTACCAAGGTGAGCTAATCGTTGGCAATGCCACATTCACACTACAATGATGTGTTATGCTGTTCATGTATTGATGTTACATTTCATTATTTATTACGTTACTTGCCATTTCTAAGATTTGGCTGGTGAGCTAGTTGTTACGTAAGAGCGTGTAATAGCAAGGGCTTCTTGAAAGCGCTTGCGTCGGATGGAAGTAAGAGAGATGGGAGACGAGCGTTGCACAAACAACACGCACTTTATAACCCAAAAGATAAAAGGCAAAAATTGAAAGCGAGAATGAAACAAACACTCGCGGACAAAAAATTACCCCAATAACAATACAAGCAAAGTAGTCTGCAAACCAGTTTAAATCCATTCTTAGCCTGTTCCTGATTCAATATAGCGCCACCACAATCGAATGCTCTTACCATTCACTTCAGTTTCTCTTCAATGCTGTGTTGAGGTTTGTCATTTACGTCGTTGATTCTCTCCTCAACCTCTTTGCTGTCACCGTCGATTGGCGCAGCCAAACGAGCCGCTTGTCGTCGTCGCCGCCGGCTTCCCAAACTTTGTCTTCTTCGGCCTCACTAGGCTAGGCTTGGGCTCGCCATGGACTCTCTTGATGCAAAAGCTGTTTTGCAGACTGGTGTGGGCTGTCGCCATCGTGCCGTGAAGTGGGAGAGCTGCAAGTCGACCAGGAACTGCTGGGCAAGGGTGCGGCAAGTCCGGGCAGCCTTACTCTGAACCTTCGAGGTCGACAGCCACACGCCGGGCCTCTCACGCCGACATCCTCAGAACCGGGCAGTCGTACTGCTCCTGTCGCGGTAGCAACGCTGGTTCTCAACGTCCTCGCAGCTCGGCGTGCCAACACACAGTGTCGGCTCATTCTCTGGGATTTTTCCCTCGGCCCGGGTCGGGTGCCATGAGTCTTTCTCTACGTCTACGTGGCTGCTACGAGTGCTCTCGGGAGACTTTTTCTCTCGCATCGTCGCAGCGCTTCCACGTTCGGCACGCACCCTGTGCCTCTCCTTTACTCATGACAGCCATGTGTTCATTGCACGACAGGTTCCCCTATGAGCACAGCTCATTACGAAACCCTACTGATGAAACAGTGCTTGAGTAAACTCTCACCTCTAGGATTGCCAGATGGCCACCCGAGATGGCCAAGGGCAGGGCAAGGCGCTCGATGTTGGCGCGGAAGCCTTCACTCTCGCCAGGCAGTGTTTTGCACATGGGTGGCAGGTTGGTGATCTGAGTGTCCCGGCTGCCCACAGAACCATTCAGGTGCCGGTACTTGGATACTCGCACTGCGCAATGTAGCACATCTCAGTGACAGCACCAATTAAATACCTACAGTAAACTTAGACACCAAGAACATAAACAGGACATGCATTCACTCCTTTCTGTGATACACATAAATCCACTTTTTCAAAATGTATGTTCAACGTGTACATTCTTTGACTTACATAACCACATTATCAAGCACTTTCCATATAATACACTTTCAGTTCATACAAGCTTCACTAGCAAAATCCTGACCCCTCCCCCCCCCCCTTTTTTTTATCTAAGATTGCTTCCAAAAATTGCGAAGCTATCTCGTCCTTCTTTCATCTCAGGATCCAAGATATTTATCTCTGAGAAAAAAATCCACAAACAGGGGTGATGCTGAAGCCGATGTTTCGACAAGCAAACTTGTATACTTCAAAAATGTTGCAGCCTTGAAGAAACGTCCACTTTGTAAAGAAATTAAATTGATGCAATGGCTACCCTATCTTCTTCCTTTTGATAGAACACCATAATCCCCATGATGCCCTAGATAAGTGTGGTGTAGTGGTTGCGTTTTGGGAACCGGTTCTTTTGCCCCCAGGGGGCTACAAATATTCAAAATTTAACATATTTTTTTAATGCTCTTTGCTATTTGATATTATTCCCACTAGAATTTTTGATATTCAAACTATTAGAACTTCCCAAAGACAAATACAATTAACGTTCGAGTGACCCCTTCAATTTTAATATGCTTTGCCCCATCACATCTTCGTATTGCAGCAAAGCTGCCTTCCAGGCTCTGCTACAGTCTCAAATGTATTGACTCGAGAAAATGCTGGTTCCAACATGAAGATGATAAATTTGGCAGAGGTGGGGGCTCAATTAATGCTGTTTTGCAACTGAAATTTCAGCAGGAAGACAAAAAAATCCGACACTGAAAATTTTTACCACCTAGAACTTCAGATGACCTTAGTTATTCACGTCTACAAGGCATATTTGGAACTATGGACTTGAATAGAGCCCACTCCTCTCTTCCTCATCAGTTGGGCTTCCACAAAAGCTGTAAAAAAAGAAGATGCTGAGGTAATCCCACGTATAGTGTTGTTGGCATTACTTCGATGGCACCAAATCATGTACATAAGTACAATTCGGCCTCCTATTGCCTTATTCTTCAGAAGACAATTATGAAACACCACCTTGTCAGCGCTTCATCAACCTAATAAAAAGAATTATTTTCATACCTTCCAACCTAGGAGCATGACAAATTTGGGAGACCACTGCAGGGGGGATATATACATCGGGAATCGGGACCGAGACATTTGTGACCCGCTGTCGTTTCCATCCAATGCGATGGCGAAAGCCCACCGTTTCAGAGTGTATACGTATTCGAAATCTTAGCCACTTCCCAGACGATGGCAGCTGTCCTCGTACGTCCGAACTCGTACCGTTTCACATCCTCACACTTCAGGAGCATTTTCCGAAACAACGGTCCTGCGTGATCATGAGCGCTTAGCGGCAAGTCGTTTTCCACAAGAAATCCCGTGAACAGTCATTCTGCACAAATCACACTGCCTGCTTAGCTCTTTTAAAAGAAACTCTTAATATTTTCGAGCCCTTCCGCAGACTGACCGTACTTCTCATGCTTCTGTCAAGCATTGTGCACCTTCATTTAGGCCTTGCCACTGCGCGAAACGCTTATATTAAAGGTGCACATAGTACAGAATCCGTATTTTTCTTTTCATCTTTCTGCCAAGTCACACAGCACGAAAACCCTAGTCTAGAAACATTTGCAAGTACTTTTTTTGCTTTTGACACCGCCATTGACCTTCCGACTGAACTCGGAGAAACAATCAACTAACACAACCGGTTAGTGCCCAGGCAATTGCCGTAAGCCTAGTGTGCGAAATGCAGGAGCCAAGATGGACAGATGCAGAAATAGTAAAATTTCCCTCGCCAAGAAGTTTAGAGGCATGTGTTCGTCAACCGCATCGAAATTGTCGCAGCAAGAAAGGCTGATGTACACGTGTGATTAGAAGACGAAAACTATGTAGTGGTAGCAACAGCTCAAGAGAATCGACACAGCACTCATACAATCGAGAGATTAAGTCAGGATTCAGGAGAGTTGGCAGGTATGCACTTTCATGTTGCGATCTAGTAAGAATATGTTTAGGAATCTTTTCAACTTTTTCTTCTGCAATTTTGCTTTAAAGCAGTCCAAAATATTCTAGAAATATTCGAGAAATATACAAAAAAAAAGAAACATGGCTTATCCCTCTATCTAGAAAATGGTATAACATTAGATGATTGATTGATTGATATGCTGGGTTTAACGTCCCAAAACCACCATATGATTAAGAGAGATGCCGTTGTGGAGGGCTCTGGAAGTTTAGACTACCTGGGGTTCTTTACCGTGCACCCAAATCTGAGCACACAGGCCTACAGATTTTGGCCTCCATCGAAAATGCAGCCGAGATTCGATCTGGTGACCTGCGGATCAGCAGCAGATATAACGTGAAAGTGGAACATGTCTTCACAGAGGCAGTTGAGCATTTATTGTGCATAGCATTTATTGTGCATTTATTGTGCATTTATTGCACCTTGTGCAGCTAAGAACTTGTATCAAGCAGCTCAAGCAGAAAGCACGTATAAAATAAGGGTACACAGGATGAGCGCGGACTTACAACTGTCACAGCTCGACTTAAAGTGCGCTGCTCAAACACAAAGAAAGACACACGGAATGAATGCACAAGTATACACAGGACGAGTGTGAACAGCTTCCACAATTCTTACTTCTTCGTTTGTGAGCAGCGTGCTCCTTACATTAATGCGACAGCGGCAGAGAGTGAAGTGACCTTCGTGCTGTCCCGAATCACTGTAACTTCGAAGCAACCTTTCAGAAAAAGCACAAGATGTACAAAGGACCCAATTCATGAGATAAGCACACGCGCACTAGCAGCCACCAGGTGTGCATGCAATGCAACATGCGATGCGACAATCTTCCGAACATGCTCAATGTGAACCCTTTGCAGGGGTGCAACAGCTGAAATACAATTTGGAGCAATTTTTAGAGCACTAAAATCCGAATTTAGAGCAGGTTGCAGAGAAAAAATCCATACATTTTTTTATTATGAAATACCAAATTTGGAGCAGTATAAATAAGAAGGCTTACATTTTGAAAGGATATCTGTAAATCATTCAACATCTACTAAATCGTGCAGTGTGAACATGAGCACTGATACTTTATGAAAGTACTATTTTGAACCACCCCACTGAGCAAACACTTATGAGGTCTATATTAGCTTTTGCAGAGCCTGTAAAACTAATTGACAGACTCAGCGAATTGAAATATGGATCTGCCAAGCTTGCAATCCCTTGAAGTTCGGAAGATTCATAAAGCCAAGAAGTAGGGGAGGCGAAAAAAAAATACACTGGCGCACAATTTAGTTTTTTTTTTAGGGAAGCAGAAATGTCATACACTGCTCCATATGATTGCCAATAGCTTATTTAGAAGTCGGTTACTATACTGGTACTCAGAATTATGCGGTGCACATAACGCATGAGTAACCCAGGAAAATGTGCTGTGTCCCGTGTATAGCGCTAACAGCCGCTTCCAAATCTCGATATGCTTTTTCGCTGAGCATCACTGTATGGCGGCAAAGGTGGCTTAAGCAGCATTCTTTGCACGGGCTAAAAATAAAGCCAAGAAATCTAACCGCCACACCTCACCCCCCCTCCATTTTTACCTTTTTCGAGCTGTGATGAGATCACAACTCAAGTCGCGCACGGTGCCGTAATTGTCCGCTGCCGCCATTGTCCGTAAGCACTATCACACGAAACAAACAAAAAAAAGCTCGGTAAGTGAAAAACAAAGGCCACAGTGGCGCTCGAACCCGGAGCCGTCGCGCACAAGCCCAGTATTCTACCACTGAGCCACGCTGGTGCTTGGGACTTATTCGCAAACTTGCCTTAGGCGGGCTTGACGTCGGGCAAGGAATCTTGTTAATATGAGTAATAAAGTGTTTTGTTACATAAAAGGAACCACCAGGCATCACACAATGCGAATAGCGTAACAAGTGGGTCGTACAACGCTCCAACCCATTACAAAAGCTTGTTCTTGATCACCTATTGACTATGGCACCTACCCACTTCAGGCATAATTCCTCATCATCTGTAGCCACTGCACGAACAATTGGCACAACATTCCTTGCCAATGTTTAGCGGATACCACGCTTCTCGGAATGACGAAGGATAGCATAGCGAATGCCAGCCCAGAAATTATTATTATTAATTCCCCAGTGAGCACCCAGAAAATGTGCTTGCATCAGTTACCCAATGAGTGGTTGGAAAAGGCTCTGAAAGGCCGCTCTTCTAGCTTTGGCTGAGACTGTGCTGTGCCTTTCGCGCAGGCCTGCTGTTTTTTTATTCTTTAACCAGGGGGTTAGGTGCCGCTTCGGCTACCTTGCAAAGCGCGATCTTCAAGGTGAAGTAACAACGGTGCGCGCCCGTTGGCCCGGAGACGGTACCGGATATCTATCGCCAGGACAGTGGCCAGGACGACGCAACTTCAAAACAAAACAAAAAAAAAGTTTTATGTGGCACTGCTAAGGCAATCGTCGTGGTCGCTGGCAATGCCGACATTCGCAGCATGTCAAGCTAGTTTGCGCAAGGAAAACATGGCATATACTTTAAGCTTCAGTTCCAAACAAGCCATAGCCGCATTTTCAAGCAAAGAAATTAACATTTCCCGCGAAGCACTGGTGGCTACAGCAATTCATTTTTGTCTTGAAGTTCCATCGCCCTGCCGACAGGTATCCGTTGTGGTCAACGGACCGATGAGCGCGCAGCATTGTTGCTTTATCTGGTTATATTTATATAAGTATATTCTAGGCACTATAGTTTGGGTCTGTGTGTTTTGACTGATAGAACAAACTGCAGGTGGCCGATGTGGCCTGCATTTCTCAACGAAATCGCTGCACCTGAGAAAATTTTGAGGCTGGCTGGGCATTTTGACACAGTGTGGCTCAATTTCAGCGAATTTCATGGTTCTGGCACAGAACAGCACAATAATCAAAAATTGTATGAAATTTGCGCAATTGGCGCAGCTGCTGCACCCCTGACTTCGTGCCATCTCGCTACTGATGACGAAAACGTGCAGAAGTTGCTGAGCTCACATGACCACCAACGATATGTCTGGTATATAGACAGCTCGCTATTAGCAAGATAGACAACATAAGTTATCTGGCCTAATGGTTTTGCACCGCGTGCTGCACAGCGAGAGGTCGTAGGTTCAACACCCAGTGACAAACTTTTTTTTTTTTTTTGCAATCTATTAGTACGTATTTTACGCCGTATCTGTGACGGAAATACATCAGCAGAGTCGTGGTGGACCTCGACATAAGACACTTTTAGTGTTAAAATATCCGATTCGATTCGCACTCACACATCACATGAATTCACTTCACACACGAAATTTTGCTAGTCACAATGCTCTAATAGCTTCTGAAGACTGATGGAGAGGACTTGCCTTTGAAGCCACGTCCCTCGTTGCGTGATGGCTGTCGGCGAGCGCTCCTGGGGGCTGCAGAGGGTCCTGTACTGGAGGCCATAGTTGAGCGAGTTTGAGGCATTGTTTTATGCAGGAATGCGGGAGTGTCCCCGTTGAGGCCGTTAGTGCTGGCTGAGGTGTCTTCCCAACGGTTCACTTTGGTTCGTGGAGCCGGCTTGGGAGCTGGAATCGGCTGCACACATGCATTGGCACCAAACAAACATCTTGCGGACCTCCTGTGATATCCCCATGAACCATGTCATATCAGCCTATGCAAATATTTGTGGAGATTACAGGACAATTTCATGCTTCAATTGTAAATTTTAAGCTGTTCAGCTGCTGTATTTGCATTATTTCCAACAGCATACATTAGACGCCCCACTGGAGGCCACACTTCAGATATTGTAGCACATGCCTCAAGGACCATAGGTTTCTCATAAAGAGTGCGACAGCTTTGCCCTCCCGATATTAGGATACTAGTTCATGAGATGTTTGTTAGAAGCAAACCTTGACTTTTTTTGCCCATTGAGAGTCCGCACCGACATGATCTAATTAGTTTTCTTGAGTCGGCTAAAAATTATGCTTCCTGGTTCACATCATCTCAATGCAATAAATGTGTAAGTCACAGGCATATTAAATCTTCCCTAGAACTAACCCCCTTAGCCGTTTAGCAGTCAATAATGGCAAGCAAGGTATGAGAGTTGTTGATTGATTAGTGGAGTTTATTGACGCAAGAGCCAGATATGGCCAAAGAGCGCCAAAGTGATGATAATTAACTGTGCAATGTGCAGTGTGGATAAAACAGATGTGACGTGGCTGTAAATGGGCCTAAAAACAGTCGCTGTAGGTGCGTAAAAATATAAATATAGTAAAATTATGGCAATGACAAATGTGTGCTATGGAGACATAAAATGCTTTAAAAGTGATACGTATATGAAATAAAAACTTGGCGTGGAGCACCAGTGCCTCAGCAGAGCCCTTAAAACAAAAGCATGGAGGCCTGGGCTCATTGAAAGCTGCTATCACAGCGGCATCCTCTGAACCCCCTGAACAGAGGATGCGCTATGAACTTGTTGCGCTAAAAACATTCAATACTACATCCTTTGAAAAGCTTAGAACTGATTTTAAATCAAAAAGCGGCTCTTCGCCGAGAAACATATTCAGATGTAAAGGAAGATGATAGCGGTATGCTAAACAAAAATATTTCTTTTTCAGCTTCCCGACACTCCAGGAGGACGTAGAGGACGGTTAGCCTCTCGCCACATCTAGCACAAGTAGGAGGTTCATCGCCAGTCAGCAGAAAGCTATGGGTAACATAAGTGTATCCTATTCTGAGGCGACAGAATAGGACATCAGTTCGCCATGTTCTCGTAGCGGAGGGCCAGTAACCTAACTGGGGCCTAATCAAGTGAAGCTTATTATTTATTTCTGTGTCCCACAAGAGTTGCCAGTGGCTTTGCAGTTTCTTACGTAGGAAGGGTTTTAGGTCTGTTGCTGGGACAGTAGCGGTAGGATTAATAGCGCGCAATATAATTGATGTGGTCATTTGGTCAGCGAACACATTGCCCTCGATACTTCTATGGCCAGGTACCCAGCAAATAGTAGTAACATGCTGGTTGGACATATACGCAGTACACAGGACGGAATACAACTCAATTATTACCGGATTTCTGAATCTAAAAAGTGATCTTAATGCATTTATGATGCTTAATGAGTTTGTAAATATAATCGATTTTTGTATGTTTGATTTCCGTATATGCTTCACAGCCGACAATAGAGCATAACCCTCAGCCGTAAATATACTTCCGGGTGCAGTACACCGGATTCCGAGAAGGATGGTCCGACGGCTGCATAAGCCACCCCTGCATGCGACTTAGAAGCGTCGGTATAAAACTCTACGCAAGAGTAGTTGGACTGGAGTTGTCGGAAATGCATTTTAATATGTGCTTCTGGTGCGTGTTTAGTGATCTCGACAAATGAGGTGTAACAATGTATAAGCTGCCACTGCCACGGCGGTAAAAGTTTCGCTGTGGGCGTAGGACAAAGTTCTAGCAGTGGAACACCTATTTCTTCACTTAAGTTTCTCACACGCAAAGAGAACAGCTTTCTCACTGTGGGTCGATTATGGAAGAGGGCGGCAGCGGTCATATCGTTTATAGTTAAATAAGAAGGATGCTTGATGTTTGCGCATACCTTCATAAAATATGTGAAACTGCTATAGGATCGCTGCAGGTGAAGTGATCACTGATTCGATTCTACATAGAGGCTCTGGATAGGACTTGTCCTGAAAGCACCGGTTGCAAGTCGGATACCCAGATGGTGAACGGGGTCTAGGATTTTTATTGCACTTGGCGTTGCGGAATGATAAATTATAGAGGCATAATCAAGGCGCGACCCAACAAGGCTTTTGTAAAACTTCAAGAGGCACTTTCGATCACTACCCCATGTTGTACGTGATAGGAGTTTTAGGACGTTCATCGCTTTTAAACATTTCATTTTGGCATATTTAATATGGGGAATAAACGTCAGCTTAGAATCTAAAGTGGTTCCCAGGAATTTATGCTCGCTGCTCACAGAGAGTTGGTCTCCCGTGATTGCAACGTGATTGCAACATTTGGTAGTGGCATTACCCCTCGTTTGTTGGAAAAAAGTACGCAAGTACATTTCTTGGTGTTTATTTTAAAACCATTCTCATCCGCCCATTTAGAGAATTTATTCATTCCAAGCTGCACTTGTCGTTCGCAGACAGACATATTGCATGATTTGAAACTCATCTGCACATCAACATACACGGAATAAAACATCGCGCTTGGAATGACTGACTACAGGGAGTTCATTTTTACAAAAAAGAGTGTGCAACTAAGCAAGCCCCCTTGCGGAACACCAGTCTCTTGGGTAAATGATCTAGAGAGAGCGTTTCCCACTTTTACGCGAAAGGTTCGGTTAGACAGATAACTTTTGTGTTTAGCATGTTCCCATGGATGCCCATGGCGGCAAGATCGCGTAGAATCCCGAATCGCCATGTGGTATCGTACGCCTTCTCCAAGTCTAGGAATACCGAAAGTACAAACTGCTTATGAATAAATGCATCTCTGATGTATGTCTTTATGCGAACAAGGTGGTCTATTGTCGACCTCCCCTCTCTGAAACCACACTGAAGAGGGTCTAGTATACTGTTACTTTCTAGAAAGTGGATTAAGCGCCGGTTTATAATTTTCTCATATAGTTTGCATAGACAGCTTGTTAGCGCTTTTGGCCTGTAGCTGGCGGCCAAGGACGGGTCTTTGCCTTGTTTAGGTACCGGGATGACTATAGCTTCTTTTCATGACAATGGAATATACCCAGCTGCCCACATGATATTGAAGAGGGTTAAGAGTGTTTTTAGTGCTTCGGGGTGAAGGTACTTGACCATTTTTTACGTTATACGATTGACACCTGGCGCCGAGTTGTTGCAGCATGCAAGAGATGCCTTAAGTTCAGCTAATGTAAATGGGCAGTTGTAAGTCTCACTGGATGAACGTTTACATTTAAAGGGCTGCATTCTTCACGTTCTTTGAATTTTAAGACCGTTTCTGTGTAGTTTGATGCACTTGAGACATATTAAAAGTGTTCGCCTAGGCAGTCCGCCTGCTCCTCCAGGCTCTCACCTCGGCTATTTACCAAGGGTAGGGGGTGCGACTCCCAACCCATTAACTTGTTTACCCTATTCCGAACCTTTGTTTCGTCAATATAAGAATAAATACCAGAGCTATACCTATTGCAACTTTCTTTCTTTGCAAGATGACGCGTTCTTCTGGCTTGTGACTTCACCTGTTTGAAATTGACGAGGTTTTCAGCCGTTGGGTATTTTCAAAGTAATCTCCAAGCTTTATTTTGACTACTGCGTGCTTTCCAACAATCGTCGTTCCACTATGGAATGCGACGCTTATTAGTCATTCCGTTAGTTTGCTTAATATATTTGACTGCAGCGTCAATAATAAAACTTGTTAGGTATGCCACAGCATCGTCTATATTAAAATCAGCACAATGTCATCTCCATCTAAAAATGTGTTTTCTCGGAACAGTTCCCAGTTGGCTGACTTGGTGTTCCAACGAGGAAAGTTAGGCGAGCATGTTTCTTTAGTTAGCTTCAACATTATCGAGAAGTGGTCACTCCCAAAGGGGTTCTTGAGAACAGACCACTTCAGATATGAAATTAGTGTACTCGAGACAATACTCAGGTCTATAGAAGAGTATGTGTTGTGCGTAGTGCTATAATATGTTGATTCTTTTTTGTTAAGTAAACATGCACCTGACGAAAACAAAAAGTGTTCTATTAGGCGTCCTCGTGCATCCAAACGGGAGTCCCCCCATAGGGGATAATGTGCATTTATATCACCAACGACTACATATGGCGGAGGAAGTTCATCAATGAAGCTTTGAAGTTGTGTCTTCAAAAGTTGATAGCACGGAGGAATGTAAATAGTGTTAGTTGCTTCCCGAACAGCACTGCTCGGACAGCAACTGCCTCAAGAGAAGTTTGGAGGTTTAATTGCTTACAGGCAACATTTTTATCAACTACTACAGCGACACCGCCCGACGAGGCGGCAGCGTCGTCACGGTCTTTGCGGAAGATGGCATATTGCTTTAGAAAGTTTGTTTGTGTGGACTTGAGATGTGTTTCCTGAACACACAGCACCTTTGGAGTATGTTTATTAAGGAGTTCTCTAATATCATCAAGGTTATGGAGAAGCCCTCTCACATTCCACTGTAAAATCTGTGTGTCCATTTTAGATGTGTTTTGTGCTGTGTGCTCAAAAATGGAAAATTAGCTCATGGACCCTTTCCAGGGGCCGTGACACAAGATTTTTCTTTTTTGGATCGGTCGACTGAGTCGCGCCGATCCTTAGGCGCTTGCTGCGCCCTCACGCTCGGTGTTGTGTCCATTGCCTCTTGCGAGGCACTGGACATGTGCTCTTGCGAGCGCTGCATTTGTTTTGAGGGCCTCACCTCAAAAGACGAGGCCTTCGCGGCCCCCAGCCCGGAGGTTGGTGGGTCCTTCTTGGATGGCGAAGCAGCACTGGCCGCAACCGCCGAGGGGACGGATGGTGTCACCGCCGGCTCACTACGCGTGTGCCAGACAGCCACCGGAGGCCGTCGTGGCGCTGCCCCCTGACGTGCCACTTCGGCAAAGCTGGTTTTTGGTAGGTAGGA